GGTGAAATTCGCAGTTCGACATGTCCAGGATTCTCCTGGTAAAAATGGAATTTACAAGTGTAAATTCGGCAACAGTGATAGGTCGTTACGTTCTTTTGTAGGGAGGACGAGGATATAGAGTAGATTTTATAGTGGGATGCATTCTCAGATTTTGAACAGAGTATGTCATAGAGAGTCGCTTGATGATTGCAACCATTTGTATAGTTGAAATCCGAAAACTGAGAAGCGCCATCAAGTTTGGTGAGATTGTGTGACTGTGTTAATAAAAAAGGCGTAAAAATATTATCGAAATTCAGAAAAAAATTCAATAAACGGAAGGCATATAGGTTCTCAAATAGTTAGGAAAATGTATTTCCATCTTAAATACGCTCGATTGAGCGAACCTGGTTTTAAATTTCCATTACGCGTGCTTTCTTTTTATGCTTGATTGATCATTTTAAGAGAACCCATTTTGACTTATGACATCTAGGCTTGAACATTTCTAGAAAAACCTATTTTAACAGGGATTTTAGGTTGTGTAGCTCACTTTCTTGACAATCTACTGGAAGGAGGACATTTTTAACTTATTGTTAGTGCACCGATGTAATTTTTGTAGTTTAGGTCAATTCTGGTAAAAATAACTTCATAAAAATATGGACAGTCAAGAAAAGGAAAAGGCCACTTACAGAAATTGTCAGGGAAAGTATGATATAGAATGTATGGGAATTGTAATATAAAAAGATTTATTTAATTTTTTTATTGTAGAGTGTTAAAAAAGTTAATGATTTTTGACTGCTCGTATATTTCAATTGTATAAAGGTCAAAAAGGTAAAGGTCTGCCGGGATATCGAGAAGAGAACGTCCGCAATGAAAAACTGCGCGAGATAATGGGTGTGGAAAAGGACATCGTGCACGATATCAGGTCCAAGCAATTGGTCTGGTATGGACATGTGCGAAGTATGGCAGACGATCGGTCGCCCAAGCAGGTTTTCGATTGGGTTCCTCCCGGAAGGCGACGGCGTGGACGTCATGTGAAAGGTTGGCGACAAGGGGTGGAGGAGGAGATCAGAGGGTGTCACTTGCCTGATGATCTCTGGGAGGATAGATGGCAATGGCGATTGGGCGTCGCAGAGCGCGAGGCTGCGCTGTGAAAGCGAATTAATGTATGTATACAGGTCAAAAAGTTGAATTTGAGTGCGAACTTTAAATTGATCTCAAGACGCGTGAAAGAATGAGTAGGTCGATGGCTCATGCTCTACCAAACTAAGCCTGCAAAATTTTTCAGCAACCTCCTCCTTCTACGGTAGACAACGTGCCGAATATTCAGGCCAAGAATTCAAGACTCAAAACTTGGGCCACAAATTACCCGTTTACCGATCTCTCCGAAATACCCACCCAATTTAATAATAATTTATTCACTCGATATATTGTCTCGTTTTAATGCGTATGCGTGTGTCCTCCGCTGAAGAGGGCGCGGGGGATGAAACAACCCCACACGATAACTCAGCTCGGAATTTTGACTTGTGGTGAATCTGAGAGCGTTGCCGGGTGGCGGTGCGAAATCGCCTCGTCCGCGGGGCTACCGCGATCAGGTGAAACGCGAGCACGCAACCGCGGTGGGAAATCACCCCCCTCCCCGAGAAACTTGGGCGTTTAATTTACGGGCCCGAAAAGTTTGATACCCGGTTGAGAACCCGGTGATATTCCAGGGAACGGAAGTGCGAGAATTAGATCCGCGGGGCGTAAGACAATTCTCCCCACTATGTAAATGAGCGAATTTCCCTCCTTTATGCGATTAAAGATTAATCGATTCCGTCTCGTTCTCGCGATTCGGGTTGTCGGAGCGCTCGCTCTCTCCCTAGTTTCTCCCCTAAAGTAGGAGAATTTTACGAACCCAGCAGGCAACGCTCCCGGTGAAGGAGCTCGGTGGTGTCGGACTGCCGGCATGATTAGCCTACCGTCGCACAGTGGATCGAGTCAATAGGAGAGGTCGGACATAATTTGGAAACTTTAATAGCTTTTAACTCCAATTATACAAAACTTGGAGGTTTTAAAAGTGGTTCCATTGGTTTCCTCGTGAAATTTTCTTCTCAAAGCACCCCTGAACATTTAAGATATGACGAAAAAAACGTCAAAATTTGCAGTTATTGTCAACAATTTCATGTCCGACCTCTCCAATTGACTCGGTCCACTGTGCGTCGGCTGGAAATTGAGCGAATTTCGCCAGATCTGGGCGGCGCGGCGGAATGTCTCCGCCCGCACCTTTGTTTTGGTCGCACTCCGAGGGAATTAACTCCGAATGCGAATTAAATTAGATTATCTGACTTCAATGGGAATTATTAAGTTGGTAAAAAAGGCGCGTTTTCCTGGAGCCTGCCGTTCACGCTAATTGTTGCGTATAGGGTGACGCCGAAGTTGTGCTTTGCTTGCCAAGCGTTAGACGTTGCTCTGTTTGAAATGGGCCGTTTTCTCTTAACTCGGAGAGCAGTTCGGAAGTTGAAAAATGAGGTTTTTTGACTATGAACCCATGTGAATGACCTCAGACAGTAGTAAAATTTACTACAATAATTGGTAGAACTTCTAGCGTAAGTATATGAGGAGTGAATTGCTGACAGGAAGCACTGGAAGCAGACCCTCTTGATGACAAGGAGCGAATCGACAACCTCACTTCAGGTGCCATAGGGCTAGTAGTTGCTTTGGAGCCGAATAAATATTATGTAATACTACTACTGGAGGTCCTCACTATTTTGCGTAACAAGGTGGTAAAATACTGCCGTGCAACGAAAAAATAAACGCCATTTCGCATTTTTTGGAATCAATGTGTCATAGCAGAAAAACTTGTGTACCTTAGGACAATATTGATACGGAATTGTTTCGCAAATGCTGTCAAAAACTTAAAATGAAAATTTGAGATGCATGGGTAAAATGGTTTATATTTTTTGAAGTGTTAAGTTCAAAGAAACGTGGGATAATCTTGATGGATTTAACCGCGCACTGGAGAAAAAAAAAAAAACACATTGGATCTACAGTCCAGACTCTTAAAAATATCGACAAGAAAAAGTACTCTTGATTCAATCAGAATCTAGCTTAAATCAAGAACCAAGCCTCTTAATTTAAGCGGATTTCGTTTTGATTCAAGCAAAAATCCGATTGAATCAAGAGTATTTTTTCTTGTCAATGTTTTCAAGAGTCAGGACTCTAGATCCAATGTGTTTTTTTTCCAGTGCGTTCTTGCTTAGCAAGGCAGAATAGTGCTGGGTCCAGACTATTTTGGCAGCTCAAAGTGCCTGAGCCGAACACTCTCCCCCCTCACTTTTGTACTGGTACTCATTAAAGCTCAACATTTTTTACTCTAATTAAAATGTTTAGTTTTCCCCGCACTACTCTACCACCTTATTATAAATTAATTAGAGTGTTCTGCCCCAGGATGATGTTCGATTCTCTTTTCACGATACAAAGATTCGAAAAAATGTTTAATAGTATGGCAAATATTGTACAGAAATAATATTAAATTCTGCATTAGGAGTTTCTCCCGTAAAAATTTAAAAAAGTGTTTAAAGAAAACGGGAATAAATTTCTTTCCTGGTAACGAGACGGCTTAACAACTGTCACTTTTCCCCGGATTAATATTCTATGTGGAGAATGAGATTCCCGCATTAGTGAGCGCTTTTGGGTGTTTGATGCTGACGGATTTGCACAACATCCGCATTCAGCCCTTTCTGATTAGTTGATAACTAACAAAGATGATCACGTTCTGATTCAAAAAATGTATACATTTGTTAAAGATTGCTCGGAAAAAGGGGACCTTAGTCAAGAGTGGCGGTAGCCACCCCCGGTCGAGGAATTCATGGGAACTCATAATTGAGTTATTGATATTGGAGCACAGAGGAATGAAGCGTGTGCAAAAATGTTAATCCGAGTCGAAGTTATGACAGTTCGAAGTTTACCGTTCTATAAAGATATCTCTGCGCGAAATAATCTAAAATTCTAATTTACCATATTCAGGCGCTTCAAAGTACAAATTCGAATTGTGAAACAATTTTACGTCATAAATTGACGTAAAAATTACAAAGCCGCTGAGAGAATAATCATCACACGAGAGACGTTTTCGTCGAAATCTCAAAATCCGATTTTTCCGCCCTACTTGACCAAAATAGCGCATGTCTCCGATGGACGGATACATATGCCATGTTCAAGAGTAGACGCAACAAATGTTGCTGATGTAACAACGATGATGTTGATGATGTGACGACAACGTTTTCAGAGCAGCTCATGTTTCTAATGATAAAACTACTATGAAGTCCAACTTAATTTCTTTTCCTACTTAATTTTTCGCACGAATGGTTTCACGCCTGCTTCCAAAATTTGATCGTTCAAAATATGTGTGAGTTAAGTGATATGGAATCATGACAGGTAAATTTTCATTGTGATGTTTGAGCGTTTCTCATGAGGTACTCGAAAATTCAATTAAAAGACAAATTTGAGTAACTAACAGCACCTGATCACGAAAAACTTAAGGCAGGAATTTCAGGACGCACCTCGAAACCGCATTCACGTGAAACCTCCTTGAAGATTCTTAGCGTTAGACGCAATCCTCACACATGAAGCAATTTCAATGAAATTTCAAGTTAAGGAGGTTTTAAGGAGCCCCCTGGGATTTCGATGAGCACAAAATTATCATCCTCTTTTGATTGACTTTCAACGTCACTGTGCAAAAGTATGACTATTAACAATTTAGATGTTTTCAAATGATGCAAATGAAAACCATGTTGTATCTTTTTTGACCAATTTAGCAATGTTGATGAATGTAAAATTTTTCTAATCACGAATCAAACTGGTTGAAAATGAAGAATTTTTACAAATTTAAGGTCCCTATACTTGAATTACTTTAAGCAACACGGGGTTTGAAAAGTATATCCAAAAAGCTTGGTGGTTAGTAATCTTCAAAATTTTACACGAGCAACCTACCCTTAAATCAATGAAAACATTTACATTTAATTTTAAACTTATGAGATTCTCACCTTTTATTCCGGAAATAATGTGTATCCCATGGACTAAATCAAGTCTGAGCACGGCCCTCAAAAGGGCTTAAACACAAAGTAACTAACACTGTTTCGAACAAAATTCGAGGAGTAAAAGATATTTATTGAACTGCGAAACTAAGAGACAGTGGTGTTAAAACAATAAAAATTACAGCGTCAAATAGCTGAATTTAAATCCCATATAAGGGGTCACTGATCAATCACTGCACCAAGTGTCAATCACAAATAAAACGACACCGGATTAATCCAAACGTTTTTTTCGTAACCTAGAAGATCGTTGATGCAACTTTAAGCAACTTTAAAGTCGACTCTTGTTTGCACTAGGTATTATTTCGATTCGCGTTACAACGCACTATTTACGTAAACAAATTTAGATATGAAAGTTAAAATCCCCACTTCAAAAATTTCAAATGATTATGCCAAACCGTTCGCAAAATTACTTAAAGGGGAGGTTTTGACGCATCAAAATTGCAATTAATCTCACGAAATATCCTCTGAAACAAGGCTCATTGGAATAAAAAACCACGGGCGAAAATCCGAACAATGCCGCGTGTACAATCCCTCACGAGGGGCGGAAATTAACCACAGCTGGTCAGTACCGTGACGAGAGAGAACCTCTGAAATTCGATCCCTAAATTTGGGTGGATCCCGGAATTTTTTGAATCGAGGCAGGAGCCATTAAATGAAGAAAGGACCGCTTATGAAAAAAAATGATGATGATAATAAATGCGGGCACAAACTACCACCGGTTCAGACCACAGTTAAACCACTGAGAGAATCCTCAAAATCCAAAAAATCGTGACTGAAATCGGGATATCGCAAGGCCGGCTAACGGGAATCGTCGCGTGCGTTGCGGGTTGCGGAGCGTGGGATCGGAGGCGTCGTCGCTCGGGCGGGCGTCGCTGGGGGCGCGCGGACGAGACTGGGGAGCCGGCGTCGGGGCGCTGCCGCCAGCGACGACGCCGACGCCCGCCGCTCGGCCGCCCTCGGTCATCTTCGGCCACCCCCGCCGCAGCTGCCGAATCAATCCCTCGCTCGCTGTATCCACCCGGGGTCCGTGACTCCGCGGGAATTGGGCGCGCCACTCGTCGGAGCACCGCCATGCTGCCGTCCTGAGGAAGAACTCCGTATCAACACTCGAGAATGGAGATGTTGCATGTGTGAGGGATTCGCGATTTGACTGGTGACTCTTACGCAAAAGTTCGCGAGAAACACGATGGTGCCACTGGTTTTCTCTGAAATCAACTTCCAAGCTCAAAAAAAGCTCTCAAGTTGACGCCAAAATGGAGGGGGTATCCCACGCTATCCTCGAGACAAAACAAGATCAAGACAAACTCTCCATGCAAAGATATGGAGCAAATACATTGACATGGCTGTCGTGTTCGACGTCATGACCAAACAACTTGTTTGGTATGGTCATGTCAATAGGATGACGGAAGAGAGGCTGCCAAAAAAGATGCTTGATTGGGTTCCTCCTGGGAGGAGACGTAGGGGACGCCCAGTGAGAGGTTGGCGACAGGGGGTGTTAAATGAGATAAGAGATTGTCAACTCCCTGATGACCTGTGGGAAGACCGAGCTTTGTGGCGATTAGGCGTCGCACAGCGCCAAAGAGCGCTATAAAAGCGACTCATATATATATATATATATATATATATATATATATATATATATATATCCCACGCTATCCTCAAGACAAGACAAGATCAAGACAAACTCTCCATGCAAAGATATGGAGCAAATACATTGACACGGCTGCCACTCTATTTGGGGACTCCAAAACTGAAAACACGCCAGGGCTGCCACTCTATTTGGGGACTCCAAAACTGAGAACACGGCAACCCTGCTAATGTATTTGCTCCCTATCTTCGCATGGAGAGTTTGTTTTGATGTAGAGGTAGACTCTCCGGATAGCGTGGGATATCCCCTCCATTTTGGCCTCAACTTGAGAGCTTTTTTTGAGCTTGGGAGTTGATTTCAGAGAAAGCCGGTAGCGCCATCGTGTTTCTCGCGAATTTTTACATAAAAATCAATAGTCAAATCGAAAATTCCTCACACATGCAACATCTCCATTGGTGATGAGTTTGTGTTCGCAGCGGAAGAAGGGGACCGAGGTGCCGCCGGAGAGTCCTGGCGTTTTGAAAGTCATTTCCGATGGAAGGTTATGAAGAAGAATCATTTGAGGAATCCAGACCTTTTCTAATAACCGACTATCGAAGAAGGTTAAATTTTCAATTCTGCATCTCTCGCCCTCTCAAATTACACCCGTGCATTAATGCAATTTTAAATTCACCTTCTGGGAGACGAACGGAAACACATCTATTTCCATGCTGCAATACTGCATCAAGTTGCACCTGATTCGCGGATAGAGTGGAATCCTCCGACAAAGGGAATGGGTCCCATTCCGTCAGCAATTGACTCGAGCCCTCAACGCCTCAACCTTCCCCCGTGCTCCTTCTTTAATTTCCACCTCCGCTATCAAATTAAACAAGTTCATATAGAGAGCGCTCCCGAACCGATAGACTTCCTGCAGAGTCGATTTCGTTAATTAACTCGAGGAGGACGCACTGGAAGAAGATCGCGTTTACGCCTCGGTTAATCTAAGTTAAGTTGAGGTGAGAAGTTGCGCCTTGAGGTATAATCGCATGGATGATCGAAGTCGTCCGAAGTTGCCTCCAGATCTCATCAACACGACGACGCGACGTTCAACACAACTTTGATCGTGTTGATACCGGCGCCGGCGTCGCTCGGTGGATCGAGTCAATGAGAGAGGTCGGACAAAATTTGGAAACTTTAAAAGTTTCTAACTTCGTTTAAACACAATTTTGAGGTTCTAAAGTAGTTCCATTGGTTACTCCGTGCAATTTTCGTTAAGGAGCACCCCTTAATATTTAGAACGGTACGAAATAAACATCAAAATTTGCAGTTTTAGTCAAAAATTCTCTCGATCCACTGCGCGTCGTTTAGGGTCGGCTGCCGCACAGTGGATCGAGACAATTAGAGAGGTCAGACATGAAATTTTTTATGTTTATTTCGTCACATTTTACATTTCAAGGGGTGCTTTGAGTAGGAAATTTCACGAAAAAAACCAATGAAATTACTTTTAGAGCCTCAAAGTTCTGGATGAACGGAGTTAAGAGCGTTTAAAGTTTCCGACTTTAGTGTCCGACCTCTCCTACTGACTCGACCCACTGTGCGCCGGCGTCATGTGAGGTCGGCTGCCGCTCAGCGCAGCGCACACCTCCCATCGCTTCAGAGCGATCACCCATTTCAAACGGGAAAAAATCGATTGCTAAAACTTTCAGCCTTAACAAAACTCTGGAGAAAGTATCAAATTGAAAGAAATACTTCGTTTCATCTATGAAGCTTTGATTATTTTTGTGATGAGTCTTCGGGACAAAAATTCATGCGGGCTTTATCCTGTAACCCTTTTGTGCATTGTTGTCCTTAAAAAAGAACTATGAATCCTAATTGCGGTACTCAAAGGGTTTCATTCATGTGTTGAACTTTTAAAACAACGGCAACCGACATTTTCCACCAGATGTTAAAAAATGGCGCCCTTCAGAGGCGAGGAAAAATCAAAAGAAGTTTCAAAATTAAAAATAAGAGAAAAAGTTCTTTCCCAGAAAATTAAATTTTGCTAAAGGGGAATAAATTAGGCCTGTCCCCGAACCGATCGATCGATCGATCGATTATTTCGATGATCGATCGATTATTTCGATGATCGTTCGAAGACCTGTTTCGATCGAAACTGCTCGATCGAACTGCTCGATCGAACTGCTCGATCGAAATGTTCGATCGAAATGCTCGATCGAAGTGCTCGATCGGAATGCCCGATCGAAACGTTTGTTTTGAAAGCCGTTTCGATCGAAATGTTATTTTGTAATGTTGAAATACGATTTACCATGTTTAGCAAATAATTGCAGAATTTNGAATAAATGCGAGAATCGACATAAGTCCAGCATGTGAATCGTCTAATGCGGCAAAGAAAAATGGATAATGGACGCGAAATAATTCATTTGCGAGACGCCTTACAATTGTTAGCTCGGCAACCAGCAGTTGTTCACGAGCTGAACAAATTGCTTATACCACTCGATGAAGGCGTTTTGAAAAGGTAAATTCCGCTCTCAGATTATGGTCCTAGTTTCGCTGAGCTCAGAATAAAATGAGCTGATTTAGAATGGTCCAGAATAAATTCTTTATTCTTAGCAGATTTTTAACGTAAAGCAAGCATAGAATCTTGTGAAGATTGTTGAAGAGTAATGATTCTATTGCAACGTTTATACTGCATCCTTCATCGGTGAAGTGGAAGGAAATAGACTAAAGGAGGTCTAAAAGAGGACTTGACAAGGACAAAGACTTGCGATGTCGACCAAAATGATGAATCACGGGTAGAGAAAGTGAGGTAGGGTGATAGAATAGTTTAGATTGGTCCCGCCAAATTTTTGAGGGGTCTCAAAAGTAGTTTCTACTTAACTGGGAGCGGGCACTTCCATAATTTAAGGTCAATTCGCCCGAACTTTAAAGCTCAACAAAAGATGGAAAAGGCATCGAAAAAAATGTATAACGTTTTTCAGTGGGAATTCTGATGGGGTCAAGACAAAAAGTGCCAGATTATGGTCTGATTCTGGCATGGAATTACCCTACCATAATCGTTCCGAGGTTTACATGGGTGTCACAGGACTTTTCGATTACCCTGTACCTCTGCCGTGCTAAGTAAAAACGCCGTAAAAGCATTTCAACGTTGTCAAATTCACTCTCAGAAAATCCCAATTTTCGAAGAAAGTTATGAATATATTTCCTTGAAACGTTTAGAATTTCAACGATGCATATTCATTGTTACAACGGTTGTCAGTAGAGTAAAGTTTAAGGTTCGATATCATCCAAACGATAATTTGCACGGAGACGGACGGTCGGTGAAAAACACAATTTTCCTTAAAATTATCGCCTTTTTATCTTCTGTGAACACTCCTGGAGTAGACTTCGGAGTAGGTACGTGATGTGGTATCACGCGGAAATGAAGGAAAATTTTGGCGTTCCATCTGTCAGCCTGTCGCACACATAACTGACATCTATGAATGTAGGATTACAATGAAGCAGAAGAAAAGCAAATATTTCCTTCAAAGCGGCGTGATACCACATCTCATACCAACGACTCAGTTCAAATATTAACGCGCCTGTGCGTCTGATTTCAGAACGGACCATTAGACAAGGTACGATTAATTTAAGCTTTCTTATGCATTTGGCTGGACCAAAATTTTACGTAGATCACGATTCTTGCATTGGAAATTACTGAAATGAAGTCCTAACTTAGATATTTAAGTTTTTACTTTACATTGCTGGGAAATTAGAATTGCCCAGTCACAAGAAACGCAACACTCTGGGCCAGTCAAATCGCGACTAACAACGGTTTTGGACGGCTGAGCCAAAGCGTCAAGATTAAGGTTGCCATATTGTATAGATTGCCACAGTAACGTTTAGTGTGCGATTTGACACGCGGACAGGCGTACACCTTTGCGTTTTCATGGAACGGGATTTTTGTTGAATTTATACGCGTCAAGAAATATTAAGTATCTTCGTTAAAGGAGTTAACTCTAGTAATTTTCGTCACACGAATCGGGTTTAACGTGAAATTTTAGTGAGCATACATGCATCAGATTACTCAACTTTGTGTATCGTCTAGTGGTCCCTTTAATGTAGCGAGCATAATGCTTGCATTCATTATTTGAGATAGATGAAAAGCCAAGATTTTACTTCAAAGCATTGTGATGACGCAAAATACAACAACGTAGTTCTAATATTTACGCGCTTGATTTCAGAATTTAACGATGTAGGATTTTCCTTCAAAGCGGCGTGATACCACATCACATACCAACGCGATTTTCCCATCCGGTCGGTAAAATCATAAGG